ACGGCCTCTATACCAGCAGTACAGAAAAAGCTCAAGGGTTCCTTTGGTGTGGGCAAACAAGGTGCACATAACTCAGTACTTTTTACAGATGGCAATTTTCCTGTGAAAGTCTCCTTTTTCTCCTCAAGTTTTTAACATGCGCATCAAGTGTATTTAAGCAAATTAATGTATTCATTTTGGAGACAGGTTCTCACTTCCTTGCTCGGGCTGGCCTTGAACTCCTGGGCTCTGGAGACTCCCTGCCTCAGCCTCCCAGCGCCTGGGACAGCATGCATGCACCATCACACCCAGCAAGGTAATTTTAAATAGCACGACTGATGATTCCAATAGATGTGTTACTTTGTGGTTTTCTTCGATGCCCTCATTTTCTCTTCTCTTTCTTTGTCTTCTTTTCTGGCATCTTTTAAAAAAACTTGAATTATGGATGTTGTGTTCATGAGAAAAAACACAGAAGTTCTGGCTTCTTTTCCTCACGGGGGAGCGTTTCCTTTTGCTTTGTTCTGTTAACCTTCTTCAGAGGCCTCAACTGAGGAGATGAAGTTTGTGGCCCCGTCTTCCCAGCTCTGAAAGATTCTGAAAGCACTTTGTGGCTTCTGCTCAGCTATTTACTGTTCACTTTCTAGTTCATGTCTCATAAAAACGGTGCAGCTTTTAAGCAGGCAAAAGTCCTGAAGGGGAAAGGTAGGTCTGCACAAATCCTTTCTTCGTTTTCTGGATGCCTTGCTGACCCCTGATTCCACTGTTTGGCCTCTCTAGCTATTTAAACTTGCTAAAAACTTGATTCACCATTTCTCCTCTTTATCCGTCACTGTTTGTTTTGCTTCTCAGCTTCCCTCTCGGTGCCAGTTACTGATCCTCAAATGCTGGGAGGGAAGAGGAAGTGCAGGATTTTGGGTTCCTGCATGGTGTCATCCTAATTCTCAGGACCTTGGCCTCTCAGGTCCCGAATACTCTGACACAATTTTGCTCCTTTACACAGCTTTAAAAAAAAAAAATCAGCCAGCTTTTTCCCAGTGCCTTTGGTAGGAGCACTGGTCAGATGCAAACTCATAGCCAGAAGCAGAAGGCCTTGAATATTTTTATTTTGCATGTATACACCCACCAGATCCATTTTTTAAATCTAAAGTGTGTGCTTTCCCCTCCTACTTTTTTAAAATTTCTTTTTGATGTGTAGTTCATAGATTTGTTGTTAATTTTATTAGTCTTTTTAAAAAGACTTCGATTAAAAATAGTCCCCTTTTATCCTGTTGTATTTTTTTTTCTTTTTGGTTTATTTCGTTTAAATTTAATTTTAAAATTTATCAAAATTGAATTTAGGGGCACAGAATGTTTTTAAACTCTTCCTGGTTCCACAATTATTTAACAACCAGGTGTTGAGTAAAATTTCTTCCCTATTCACTACTTTGGGATTCTACTTTTTCCAATCAGCACATATAGCATTTTATGTAGTCTGGTTCCTTTCTGAGCTCTCATTAATCTGTTACTACATCTTTAATCTGCTGGTTTTATGACTGAGCTCTAATACTTCTTTTCACCCCTTACCAGATGAGTACCTTCTCAGTGCTCTTCCTTGTCAGATGTAGTTATTCCCCTCCCGAGGTCTTTGCCTGCACTGTCAGAAGTGGTTATGACCTAGATAAAAGGTACTCTGTACAAAAGTGCAGAGTTCTATCGATGGGGATTAAAGCATTGAGAGACTGGAGAAAAGTTGGTGCCTTCTGGGAAACTGAGAGCATGGTGGTGTCATAAAATAACACTGGACATGCACCGGAGAGAGATTTCAGCAGATTTTAACAGTGTGGGAGAATCATCTTCCGTCGAACAGAAGCCGGGGTAGCATAGGTCATTGTAACAGATTGGTGATATTATGAAATCTTGCTACCTTTGGCTGATAGGATAGAGAGTTGACAGAAGTTTTTTTAAAGTTGAGATATAGCTTGGATGAGATATCAGAAGAGATTCACGGTGGCACTAGTTCTAATGAATGCGTCGTTTTTAAGCAGCAGCCCACAGCGGTCCGTTGCACACCTTTCACCGCGGGAAATAAACTGTTAGGCTGCCTCCCGACGGGGCTTGTGGCTGATGGAGGGGCCTTGACTTAGGGAGGAAAGTGGAGGAGTCGGACTGATCAAGTTGGGGAGATTTGGGAAAAAACATTTCAAGTGACACAATGGAAACCCCTGCTGAAAACCTCGACACTGTAATCCACCATACACGCTTATGTGTTAAAGAAAGGCCTGTTATTCCAAGTAGTACATATGAAGAACAGAAAGAGGCTGGCAGGCTCTGTGTCGACGTCAGCATTTTATTTCCATGTCCTCCATTTAATGAATGAGACAGATGAGGATGGGCAAATACAAGGCTGAAGCCAGCCTGTAAAGCCAAGGCAGAGCTGGCCACACGAAACCCTGGTTTCCCAACAACTGACCTGAATATGTCCCATTACGCTGTGGCCCTTAGAGAAGGCTTGTGCCCCTCTCTTCTATTAATGACCGCATCACTTGGCACTTTGCAGGCCCCTCCTTAAGGTTCAGCAAAATTTTCACTGTGTAAGAGTAAAAAGTGGTTTCGATACTCTCTCCAGAGCGTGCGATTTCTAACGTGAGCTGACGCAGAGCAGTTTTGGGAACAAATTTAATATAAAAGTACCAAGTATGCAAAGCGGGTAGGAAGCCGAACTTTAGAAAGGAGCTGGAGAGATCACGAACTACTGCAGGGCCATTTCTAAGGTCAGACTTCAGCCCTGCACTGCTGTCCTTCTCTAGAGAACAAGCCGCGTGCCACTGGGGCCCTCGGTCCTGCGCCTGCTGTGGGCTCCCCGCTGGACCAGCGGTACCCACGTGAGCTTCCTTCCATTCTGTTTTGTGGCAGGGTCTGCCCAGGCACTCACCCCACCCCCATCCTGTTCTAGTTCGGTTAGAAGGAAACGAAGCCACAGCAGAGCAAAAGGACTGCTAACAGCTTTTGTCTCTTGCCTCCTCTTCCTCCTTACCCTCTCTGCACTGTCCTCCAAGCACCCAGCTGCTCCAGCCTGGTTTGGCTCCCGCAGAACGTCCTGCCTGCCTGATCCAGGAAGAGCTATGAGCAAGGACGTCCACCGCAGAGAAGGACCTGCCCATCCTGGTTAGACTCCGGTGTGACACCCGCCTGCCTGAGGGAGGAATTATGAGCAAGGACCACAACTGCAGACACAGAGTCGTACCCAGAACCCACGCGTTGTGCTAAGAACCAAGTCTCTACACCACCCAAACCCGAGCAATGGCAGTATCTCTGGAAGACTTTGTGCGGTCCCTTGACCTCAGGACCCTGCCCAGGGTCCTGGAAATCCAGTCAGGCATCTATTTCGAAGGTAAGCTTTCTCCAAGTCCTTTGCTGGTTACAAAATACAGACCTTAGGGAGTCTACACACCCCTGGGAATTCGTGGAAGAATTTTAAGAAAGAGTATGAGTCCTGCAAAGGAAAGGTGATCACGAAAAAGAGAAAGTAATTAACTGAGAAACAGTTAAGACCCAAGAGTGTTGAAGAAGGGAGAAACTAGACAAGCTCTTTGGGGTGGTTGGGGCAAGGGATAAGGATTGTGTGAAAATTCTTGAGATTTTCCTAAGCATTCAGTAGCTCATGTGGATGGTCACTTTCCTCTGCCTATTCTTTGGAACTGGTTGTCACTAGGAGTGAAAACTTACTGATATTTATTTCTAGAATACCAAAAAGTCTTTTTTCTAAAATAAAAGCAACCCTCAAATGCATATGATTTAGAAAGTAGTGCTTCCCAAGGTTTTAAACACTAAAAGTCACTTAAATTAATGCTTCTCTTACTCTTTCTGCCTTGGTCTAACTCTTAATTTTTTAAATAAGAGCATTTTTAATTTGAAGATTTTGAAATTTGGGTCTGTTGCTAGGCAGCTCCAATGTGACTGTAATCCGAGCCCCCCTGGAGGCTGAAGCACAAGGATTACAGTATTGGGACCAATACATTTTTTTTAAAACACAGGAAAAAAAAGTACTTAATGCCTATTCATCAAAGATAGTTTTTTAAAATCTATGTTGAAAATTGATCATTCATTTAAAATTATTGAGTAAGTTGGTGAATTTTGATGTAATTCACATAACAGAGTTGTAAAAAGACTGTAGAATCTTTATGTGCATGTTTGAATATGTGCAAGAAACAAAGATCACTTTGTAAGTAACTGTATATTTTTACTGCGAAGAAACATGCACTTGAAGCAATAGGAGAGTGAGATCCAGTCAAGCTGCTGTGAAATGATGTAGGAAGTTTGGGGAGGCAAATCTTTCCTGTTTATTGACAATCCTTATCATGCACTGGTGTGAAAGTGGTCTTTACCCCCACTATGTTTTCCACTCTCAATACTGTGTTCGATAAATTGCACATCAAACACTTTACTATAAAACGAGCTTTTTGTTAGATGCTTTTGCCCAAATATACACAAACCTAAGTGTTCTGATATGTTTAAGGCAGGCTAGGCTAAGGATGACATGTCGTAGGTCAGGTGTAGTAAGCATTTATTAAACCAATGATGTTTTGAAATTACAATACATTTATCTGGATATAACCTTACCGTAAGTCAAGAAGTATTTATTAGGTATTATTCAATTTTTAAAAAAGAGAGACTGACAAATGTCAGCTCCAGGTTTTCAGGGTGTATGTGCACACCTACATACGCATGCCCTTCTCACTCCTGAAAAGTAATCAATTTGTTGAAGACTTTTCTTTGATCCATTTGTAAATCAATTATTTGGAGCCAGATCATCTTTTGGCACATACACTGTTTTGTTTTGTTTCTATGCTAGCCCCAGATCACTACTTGTCTCATGATTTATGATTTAAGGCTTTCCATGAAAAGTCTTTCTTTATATCTAGAGAAACAGTTTGATATTATTTTTTATCAACTCTAGAGCTCTATATTTCACATTTGGCTCATAGTCTGCATGAAGTGCATTTTCCTGTGGATAGTACAGAGGTCTAGAGTTACTTTTCTCTATGTGATGAAACTGACTTCCAGGCACCATTCCCTAGGTGGGCCTTCTGCTCCCTATGGATCTGATCCCTACCAAACTGTGTGACATGTTCACCTGCTGATCGATGTCTCTGAAACACCTCTGCTTTTCCCACCAGAGTTGTGTTTCTTAGTTGTGTCAAACTCACATTACTTCTGTAACAATGATGTGTGTCAGTGTGTGGACTGACTTAGCTATTCATAAACATTTAAAATGCATGCATTTTTTAAAAGTTAATTGATTTCATAAGACAGTCAGTGGAAATTTTTACTGGATTGAATGACTACATATTAACTGGAGAAGAAATGATATCTTACATTGTTATTTAAATAATGCCCTGTTCAACCATCTTCACACTTCAGTAGTGCGCTGCTGTGTCATAACTGAGATGAGTTGTCACAATTTAAGCACGTCTTCAGAAAACTACAAATGTTCTAGGAGCCCCATCTTGTGCTCTTTTTCCATGGTTATCCACTAACCACTATTGTGACTTTTGTCTATGATGAACTTTATGTAAATGGAAAGTTATTCTATGTATTCTTTCATAGCTGGTGGACATGTTTCACATATCTGTGAAATGAATCCTTAGTTTATTCATTGTTGGTATATATCATTTTCTGTTGGATGCAATTTATACATTCTACTGCTAAGAGGCATTTGGATTATTTCCAGTTTGAACATGTTACTAGCAGTGTTGTGAACACGGTTCGATGTGTATACTCAGATCTATTCAGTGGGGCAAGGAAAAACAAGTTTCAAATTCTAACTAATCTATATACCTAGTAACAATATTATCAATCTTGGCCAGGCATGGTGGTGCATGCTTGTAATCCCAGCACTTGGGAGGGTGAGGCAGGAGGATTGCCATGAGTTAGAGGCCAGCCAGACTACACAGTGAGTTCAGAGCCAGACTGAACTACAAAGTGAGACCCTGTCTCAAAAAGCTAAAAGACAAAACACCCCACCCCAGACAATATTATCAGTCTTTTTGGTCATTATGATAAGAGTATAATGAAAGCCTGTGGTCCTAATACATACCTCTCTTGTGACTAATGAATCTGACTGCCTTTTTATGTGCTTTTTGGCTATGTGGAGGTTGTTCTTATAGAATCCTTCAATGCTCCTTTGTATTAGATTTTGTAAATTTGTATTAATGATTTTATGACATAAAGATCAAACCTACTTCCTGTCAGTTACATGCTTTGTAAATATCATCTATGTCTGCACCTTAACATTTCATTTTCTCTTTTGTTATTATAATCATTAATGCTTATTAATTGCGCAGATTAATGAGTTTCACTGTGGCATTTACATACACGTGTATACCATGCTTGGATCGTTTCCTCCCTCCCTTCTTCTGTTGTGTGCTATCTTGCTCCTTCTTTAATAGCATCTTTTGATGAGGGGAAAAATTTTTAAATTTTAATATTAAATGTGATTAATTCATAATTATATTCCTTTTTATGTTATCAAGGGACATTTTCATTACCTAAATTTACGAAAATAGTCAATATTATCTTCTAGAAATTCTATTATTTATTTTTTAATTCATTAATTTTATTGGTACCTTTTAGGTATATAATATGCTGACATTCGTTATTGGGAATCTGTACCTTTACGTAATATATCTTGGTTCCTATTTTTTCCCCATTCCTCTGCCCTCCCTTCAACCTCTCCACCCCTCCCTACTTACAAAGACTTTGTTTCTAGTTTTTCCTTTTCTCACTGCACGCACCTTCCTGGCAAGCAAAAGGTCCTGAGTTTGACTCCCAGTACCTCCCCACAAAAAGACTTCCTATGTCTCAGTTCATAAAGGAAAGAAGGAAAAGGAATAAACATAGAAATTTTATTATTTATTTTTACCTTCGGATCTGCAGTCTGGCTGGGATTGATTTTTTTGTATTTGGCTTGAAACCGAGGCCAAGATTTATTTTTTTCTTATGTAGAGTCGACTGGTTCAGTGACATCGCAAAGCTGCATTTTCATGGTGCTTTATCGTGTTCCCTCAGTCGTAAACGGTGCGCATACATTTCTGGGTCTCTTTTAATAGCTTCTGTGTTCCAGTCATCTCATTGCTGTTTGTTGTTGCTGCTGCTGTTGTACTGCAGATGAAGCTACGTGCCTTGCAGGTGCTAGGGGCGTGCTTTACCAAAATCCTTTTAAAATTCTATTTTGAGACAGAGTCTGACTAAGTCACCCAGGCTGACTTCAAACTTGCTTGCCTCCTGCATCAGCCTCCCGGTAGCTGGGGTTACACAGGTGTGCCCCACTGCACGAGTTTAATTGCGTTCGTTACACAAATTTCTTCCTGCCTTAGTTAAAGCTAATTTGCAGCAACGTATAACATTTAATGTATACTGTGTTCCGTATGATAATATGCAACAGAGCTTGGGTCTCAACCTTGATTACACATTTGAAACACCTGAGATGTTTGTAAAATATAGATGCTCTGGTATCTCCTTAAATGATAAGGATCTAATTTTGTAAAAAGTAAGGTGTCATCATCAGCTTTCTAAAAATCTCCCAGATGATTTTTAAATGCAGCCAAGTTTGAGAACTACTACAGGAAAATACACTCTCCTATGCATTATTCTTCTTCAAGTTTGGCTCTGAATTTTCATACACATTTCAGAATGAACTTATCAATTTCTACAAGACACCTCCTGGAATTCTGATTAGCAGTGCACTGGTTTGAAGAAAATCAGCATCATTTTAGATTGTCTTCTAACCTGTGAACTGGGTATGGCTTGCTCACTGTAGAAATCCTTTTTCATTTCTGTGAATCATGTCTTAAAATTTTTTATAGTGATATACTTTTTTCAGATTTGTTGCTTGATTTTTAAAAATACCATTAATAATGATGCCTTCCTCTTTTTACTTTCTTTGTTGTATTTGTTGAATGTGAAGGATAGATATATCTTTTGATTATCTTTGGTTTTTTTTTGTTTGTTTGCTTTGTTTTGTTTTGTTTTGTTTTGGTACTGGGGATCAAGCTCAGGATCTTGCACTTGCAAGGCGGGTGGCAGTACCACTGAGCCAAATCCCTGGTCCGTGAGTTTTTTTTTTTTTCTTTAACACACATTCATATTTTCTGTGCATAATGATGGATTTTGTTTCTTTTTCCAAATGGTTGTACTTTTTCCCAGGTAAAACACTGGCTAGGGCTTCCAGTGTAGTATCAGGTAGGGTCAAGAATAGAGGACTTCCTTCTTGTCCACAGGCACTGAAATCTTCATTACTTCGTGATTACATATGTTCATTTTAGATTAAAGTTTCTAATGTAGAAATACTTTGATTTATGACTTTAGTTCTTTAAATAGTAAAGTCTTTCC